GCGGGGTGAGCTGGGGCAGGATTCTGCCGGGGCCTCTGAGGAGTCTGCCTGCCTCCTCCCTCTCAGCCGCCCTACAGCTGAGGGGGAGGCAGCGGACGGACTGTTTGGGGCAGCGTGGAGCCTTCAGGCACCCAAGCCACCACGTCACTCCCAGGAGAGACGCGTGGCTCAGGCATGCTGCAGGCCCTGCGGTGAGTGCCAACCGACATTTTGTCACCCCCCTCAGTGGTGACACCTGCCCCACTGCACCCCCCTTCCTCCACCCCTGGTGGGGAGGCAGGAAATAATAAAAAATATGCAATAGTTGCTGTGCACGAAGAGAAACCTTTTTTTAAAAAAATTGTAAAGTGAGCACAACAGATACAAAGCAAATACGATTTTCAGAAATGAATTCTGAAAAGGAGTGCTGGGTTCAAATAACAAAAATGAACGGAGCAGTGAAATGGTTGAGGGGGCGAAATCCCATTTTTCAGTCGGAAGGAGTTGTGTGAGCAGCATAGCTGAACAAACAGGATCTTCTTCCTTTCCTGGTTGGAATCTGGAACTGACAGGTGTTCAGGTCCGTTCGTCCCCGTCCGCATTTGCGGGTTCTTTTCGTGACATTTTTTAGGCGCCACTGTCTTCAGCTAAAACAGTGGCGTGCCAAGATTTGACGACGAAGAAGCCACATTTTAACGGATTGTTATTTTCCTTCCTGTCCAATTTCCGATTCCAGGGGGTGGGTAAGGAGACAGAACAGGCTCATTAAAAGAAGGGATGACTTTGTGTGCGTCCCGGTTTAAACAGGGCAGCACCTATTGAAGAAGGTTGGGAAGGCTTTGTGACTGGGCTTATTGTTTGAGCTGACTGGGAGCTAAAACTGCCTGCAGGGTTAAACTCCAAAGCCCTTAATTGCGACACTCAGTATTCTTCCAAAATGTCAGTCTGTAGCTGTAAATAAAACTGTCCGGAACAAGGGCACCTTAGCCGGTTTTGTCTCAAAGGAGTTTTGAAAAACCACGTGAGGATTAAGAAGAGCATTTTCTTCCCATGTGCTTTAACAAAGAGCATTCAAAGCTGTTCGGTTGCACAAAAAGACAACTTTGTTGCTGCTGCTTCTGCTGCACAACAATGGATAGGCCTTACCTCTTAACCCTGCAGGGCTGCAAAATGAGGGACGAGGTGGGGATCCGTCAGGGAATATAATGGCAAAGCACCGAGGAATGAAGGACGTTATCAAACACTCGTGAAGGTTATCAAGAAGACGATATCTAGTGAAGAGAACGTCTGCTTTGAATGCAGGACCCAGGTTCCCTTGCATCTCCAGAAAAACCTTGTCTGAAGTCATGGAGAGCTTCCTGTCAGTGTAGCCAATACTGGTCTAGATGAACGCGGGTGAAGCTCTGGTCTAAACCACTGAGCCTTGACTCATACAAAGATTCCCTTTGTGAAATAAAGATATGTAAAAATAAAAGTTTTCTCCACCTGCGAGTTCCATCCATTATTGAGAATAAAGGTTCTGCAAAGTCTTAGATGAGCCAGGCATTTGCATATTCTGGTGGCGCTGAGCAACCATGTGCCTCCATATTCATATAAGAAATAAAATCATGTCATATAGGGGGAAAATAGATATCTATCATTAGAGCTCTGTCCTTTAGATACTTTTAGCTTATGAGATACCTGTTCCAGGAAGGCAATAACACAACAAATTTCAGTGATAGGGGCTGTCCTTGTTTAGATCCTTAACCTAGCACAGGATAGACCAAGGGAAGGTAAAGGGGACGTGGGTGGCGCTGTGGTCTAAACCTCTGAGCTTGCCAATCAGAAGGTTGGTGGTTCGAGTCCCCATGAAGGAGTGAGTTTCCGTTGCTCTGTCCCAGCTCCTGCCAACTTAGCAGTTTGAAAGCACGCCAGTGCAAGTAGATGGTGTTTCCATGCGCTCTGGTTTCCATCACGGTTTTCCATTGCGCCAGAAGCGGTTTAGTCCTGCTGGCCACATGACCCGGAAAGCTTTCTGTGGACAAACGCTGGCTCCCTCAGCCTGAAAGCGAGATGGGCGCCGCAACCCTATACTTGTCTTTGACTGGATTCAACTGTCCAGGGGTTTTTTACTTTTAATTTACCTAGATGAACCAGTATAAGACAATGTGACCCTTCATTGTTTGGAGAAGGGCTGTAAGTCAGTACAGTGGTGCCTTGGGTTACGGACGCTTCAAGTTACAGACACTTCAGGTTACAGACTCCGCTAACCCAGAAATAGTACCTCGGGTTAAGAACTTTGCTTCAGGATGAGAACAGAAATTGTGCAATGGCGACGCGGCGGCAGCGGGAGGCCCCATTAGCTAAAGTGGTACCTCAGGTTAAGAACAGTTTCAGGTTAAGAACAGACCTCCGGAACGAATTAAGTTCTTAACCTGAGGTACCACTGTATTAGATCATCTGCCTTTTATGCAGAAGGTCCCAGATTCAATTTCTCACGTCTGGGAGTGACTCCTACCTCATACCCTAGAAAGACAATGCCAGTCGTAGACAATACTGAGAGAGACGGATCCAGTGTCCTGGCTTGGAGTTGACCGGCAGCTCTTTCCTCGCTGAACCACTAGGACAGCTCAGCTAGTGGGCTCTGGTGCCTTCATTTTTTAAATGTAGCTTGCATTTTTGGCTGCAAAGCTTGGTTAGCCACATAGTAGCTCAGCGTATACCTGGACAAGCTCCTTCAGATCTCAATTTCTGCCCTTTGGGTTTGTCAAGGCACATCAGTTGTGGAGGACTGACCCCACCAAGCAACTTTCAAGGCAGCCCATTCCTTACTTACAGACGCTTTAAATAAGAACTGGTCGGCTTGTTGTGAGCAGCAAATAGCTTTTTAATATGTAGAAATGGCCTTTTGTAAATAGGTAATAAATGACACCTTTGAATGAACTCCACTTACTGGCGTTATTTAGAGCATCTGCCGGGTGGCCTCTGCAGGCAAGCTGACCCTCTTTTCTGTTCAGTTCAGTTCCTTTCCTCCCTACTGTCTTAACTATAATGTATAGTGATTTGCGTTTACAATCAAGTGCTACAAAAGAAAGTAAAGCTATTGGCATAATTAAGCGAACAAAATTAAACCAGCCCATTGCAATTAATTTTTAAGTGAATCGGAATTATGCCTAGTTTTTATTCTTCCTGCTCTATGCGACCGATAGTGGAGTCAGTCTCCCTGTGATGTGTCTTTTCTGTAGATTTAAAAGCCATGTACCTGTAAGTCTGCTCATGTTTTCTGGTGGGCGCCGTTGCAACCGGGCATTGGGCCCTGCAGTAATCTGGCTGGGGGCGCAGATCGACCCCCGCCTCGCCACTGCCCAGCCGAGTCACTGGCACTGGTTGGGGCCCTGCCCAGGGGAGGCCCTGTGGTCCAATCAGCACTGATGGGAGCCATGGCCACTGGAAATTTAAACCATGGCATGGCCAGGGGCCATCCTCTCTCGTCCTTCGCCAGATCCTGTAGGTGCACCCCTGATTTAATTGTTGGGTCGTGATGGCACAAACTCCATACTGAAGATGCAGCACGAGTTTGCCTTGTGAGCAGAATGCCTTCCTTGCTAGGGGAGACACAACATGTCTAATTCTTTTTATATATATATGTATATAATTTTATTAGAAATTTAAACAAAACATATTATCTTAAAACATACCATCCTTAATCCCCCCCATTTTTCTCCCTCCCATAAAACAACCCCCTCCCCACCCCCCCACCCCTGACTTCCCTCAGTTCCAATCTCTGCTGTTCTCTGCATGTTACAAAATTGTATAAATCCTTAATTTATCTAGCTGGTTATTATCAATAAAAAGTTTGTGAGTGTTTATTCAAAACCTGCCAAGGAGTCCAATTCACTTTGTTGTGTCTTTAAATACTTTGTAAAAGGTTCCCATTCATCTATAAAGTCAGTTATCCTTTTTCCCGTGGCTTATGTGTCAATTTTGCCAGTTCTGCATAGTCCATCAGTTTTTCTTGCCATAGTTCTTTAGTTGGGATTTCCTCAGTCTTCTATCTTTGTGCTATTAAGACTCTCACAGCCATTGTCGCATACACAACATGCCTAATTCAATACAGGAGCTAAGGCCTGGTGATCGGATGCCTGGGATTGAGCATTTATCACTTCTCCTAATTGATCAGGAGGGTCCACAGAGGTTGGTGCTGAATCGGTGTGAACGTGGGGAGCACAAAAGGGGTCTTTGAAGGTCGAGGAGGCACCTGAGTCTTACCTGCATGTGGGTGGTGTTTCTGTGCAGTTGTGATATCCAGTTCTGTCCCAGCATTTTTTTTAAAAAAATATTTTTATTAATAATTTCAATATAACAAATTATCATAACATATCATCTTCATCATACCCCCAATTTTTCCCCTCCCCCAAAAAGAACCCTCCTTCCCCCTCAAGACTTCCCTCAGTTCCTCTCTCTGATTTTCAGCACATGTTGTTCTCTGCATATTGTCAAATTGTAAAGATCCTTAAATTGTCTATCTATTATATCAACAGTCAATAAATTTGTGTATGTTTATTCAAAACCTGCCAAGGAGTCCAGTTGATTTTGTTGTTTTTTTAAGTAGTTTGTAAAAAGTTCCCATCCTTCTTTGAAGTCACAGTTGTCCTTGTCTCGCGGTTTGTATGTCAATTTCGCCAGTTCTGCATAATCCATCAGTTTCTCTTGCCATTGTTCTTTTGTCGGGGTTTCCTCATTCTTCCATCCTTGTGCTATTAAGACTCTTGCTGCTGTTGTCACATACATAAATAAATTCTTTATTTTCCTTGCCAGGTCTTTTCCTACAATCCCTAACAAAAATGCTTCTGGTTTCTTTTACAAATGTTAATTTAAACATTTTCTTCAACTCATTATATATCATTTCCCAGATATTTTTTTTAATTTCTCCACATTCCCACCGCATATGGTAAAATGTCCCTTCTTTTTCTTTGCACTTCCAACATAGATTTGACCCAGTTCTGTCCCAGCATTGACACAATCTGTCCTTTATTCTCTAGGAGCAAAGCCCCAGCAACCAGACGTCAATAGCAATGATGCAGGAGCCCCAGGAAATGGTAGAAGAGACTGTAACTGTGGAGGAAGACCCTGGAACCCCAACGTCCCACGTTTCCATTGTGACTTCAGAAGACGGGACCACGAGGAGAACCGAGACCAAGGTAGGAACCATCGGCTTTGGCCTTTTCTCTGCCAAGACCTCTCAACAGGATGTGGGGAGGTGAAAGGAGCGCAGTTTTATCTAGGGTTTATTGTGGTTTGATTTAAATACTTTATTGTCACTTGTACAACTTGCATACAGTGAGATTACACGAGCACCCCCCACTCAGCTCTCTTAGTCTTAATTCCCCTCATTTACACCCACCAAACCCAAAAGTCAGTTGCCCTGTAGTTATCTTTTCATTCAGCAGCCTAACAGCCCACGGATAGAAGCTGTTCTTTACCCTGTTGGTGCGACTAATCATGCTTCTATATCTTCTGCCTGAGGGCAGGAGATCAAGAAAGTGCCGGCCAGGGTGTGAATCATCCCTGAGAATTTTCCTCACTCTCCTAAGGCAACGTTCTTCCCCTATTTCATCCAGCGGATTCATGGGACAGCCCATAATATCTTGCGCTGTATTCACCACCCTCTGTTGGCACTTTCTATCAGATGATGCTAAACGAGCATACTGCACCGTGATGCAGTATGAAAGGACACTTTCTATTGTGGACCGGTAGAAGGAGGTCATCAAATGTTGATTGACATCGTTCTTCTGCAATACTCTGAGGAGATGGAGTCTCTGTTGGGCTTTCTTAACCACCTGGGTTGTATTGATTTTCCAAGTAAGGTCTTCACTGAGATAAACTCCTAGGAATTTAAAGGAAAAGATCCTCTCCACACAGCCTTCCCCAATGTACAGTGGGGCTAGTTCCCATTTCTTCCTCTGAAAGTCCAACACCATCTCCTTTGTCTTGCGGATATTAAGGTGAAAGTTGTTCCCTATGAACCTTGTAGATATATTGATCTAAAGCTTCCGGAACGTAGGCATTGAAGAGCTGCAGATCTGCATGGGGGGGGGGGTAGGAGAAAATGCAGCCCTCCAGGTCTCTTCATCTGACCCTTGGAGCTCTCCCCAGGTGACACCCTTCCCCAGCACTCCTTGGCACTCTGAACATCTATGCCTGGCTGGAAGGTGTTGATGGACCCTGAGAACGCCTCCAGCTTCCCTAGTTGTGCAACAGAAAGGGGTGTTCTAGTTACAGGTAGGTAGCCGTATAGGTCTGCCGTAGTCAAAACAAAATAAAAAAAATCCTTCCAGTAGCACCTTAGAGACCAACTAAGCTTGTTATCTGAAGAAGTGTGCATGCACACGAAAGCTCATACCAGTAACAAACAGGGACGTGGACTTATAAAAAATATTGGGGGGGCCCGGGAAAGCTCATGAATAATAAATAAGCTCATGAATATGCAAATAAAGTGGCGCCGCCTCCTCGTGAGCGAATAGGGGAGAGCGTGCTGCGCCTATTAATCAACTCCAAAGGAAATTGGGTGGAGCTTTTGCTCGGGAGGGAGGGCAGGAGGCATGCAGCCCGCCCCTCCCTGTGCATTTTGGGCTGGGGGAGGGGCGGCGATGGCGCTCTGCTGGAGGGGCGCCGGAGATTATTGGGGGGCGGAGCCCCCCCAAACGAATTTTTGAGGGGGCTCGGGCCCCCTCAAGCCCCATGGAGTCGGCGCCTATGGTAACAAACTAAGTTGGTCTCTAAGGTGCTACTGGAAGGATTTTTTTAAATTTTGTTTTGAGAGAGGGCGTGCAAGGGTATGTAGAAGCTGGCCGGCTGTACGAGGGTGAACTGTTACATGCATTCACCGCATGCTTTGGCCTCTGGCCCTGGCCGTCACTGGCATGTGGCCCTGGGAAGGTTGCCCAGATGGGACTGCGGCCCTTGAGGTGGAGAAAAGGTTCCCTGCCCCTGGATTTAATAAGCCAAAAAAGGCAAAATGCAGACAGCTCAGGCAGGTGACCGGGGGCGGGGGGTGGTGGGTGGGGATAGAAATGTTCCTGTTCTGAAAACAGAACAGAAACCTCCACATAACTGGGCTCTCCTTGCTCTCAAGCGCTTGAGAATTTACTTTTACTTGGGCATTTGTGACCCTCCTGCCTGGGATGCCACTGGGTGCTGGGCTGGTTCCCAGAGCCTGTCAAAAGCTGAAGGTAAATCATGTATATAATCACCAAGCGTCCATTGGATAGTTATCGGAGAAACTATAGTTTGGTGGAGTGCATAGGTTGCTGGTAAAAGGGGCCCGGTTCCATCTTCTGCATCTGCCGTTAAAAGGAACAGGTAGCAGATGATCAGAGGAACCTACCCCTGCTGCCAGTCAGAGTAGACAGCACTAGACTAACTGAACTACCGTATTTTTCACTCTATAAGACGCACCAGAACACAAGACGCACCTAGTTTTTGGAGGAGGAAAACAAGAAAAAAAATATTCTGAATCTCAGAAGCCAGAACAGCAAGAGGGATGGCTGTGCAGTGAAAGCAGCAATCCCTCTTGCTATTCTGGCTTCTGTGATAGCTGTGCAGCCTGCATTCGCTCCATAAGACGCACACACATTTCCCCTTACTTTTTAGGAAGGAAAAAGTGAGTCTTATAGAGCAAAAAATACAGTAATAACCTTGCCTAACTGAACTAATAACCTTGCACAGCTGTGGATCTGACAAACCTTTTCTGACTATTTCAAACATACCATATTTTTCGCTCTATAAGACGCACCTTTTCCCTTCTAAAAAGTAAGGGGAAATGTGTGTGCATCTTATGGAGCGAATGCAGGCTGCGCAGTTAACCATGAAGCCAGAACAACAAGAGGGATTGGTGCGCAGCAATCCCTCTTGCTGTTCTGGCTTCAGGGATAGCCACGCAAAGCCTCTCCTACAGCATTTGATTCAGAATATTTTTTTCTTGTTTTCCTCCTCTAAAAACGAGGTGTGTCTTATGGTTGGGTGTGTCTTATAGAGCGAAAAATACGGTATTTTATTTTGCAGGGAGAGGGGGAATTAGATGTGTGAATCATAGCAGAGATTAGACTTGGTGAGGCAGACGGGGGCAGCTGGTGCCCCATTGCAGCCCCAGTGGTAGGTGGTGCCAGAGCCAATGGCAGGCGAGCCACCTAACTGCTTTTGTCCCCATCCTCCTCCCTCTTGGGTTGTACAGGGGCAACAAGGAGACTCAGGAGGAGGAAGCTGGCAGCCAGTGTAACCTCCTGGACTCCTTGCAGGTAGGAAAGCAGGCAGGTAGAGGTTGGCGGGGCAACACTCTATTTGCCCTAATGCATCAGCCCCCGCCAGCTCCTCCTTAGAAAGCGAAAAGGAGAGAGGGAGGATCAGATCCGAGGTGCCGTGTTTGACGAGGCTGCAACATAAGCCTTGCAGGGAGATAAGATGGAGGATTGGACTTTAATGGGCATTGTGCTTCATGGAACTAGCAGGGGCCTCTGCCGCACGCTAACTGTTAGATAAAGAAAGACAGACACACGGATGACAGAGTTTGCCCAGAATAGTCATACCACTGATAAGAAACATATTTGCGGTTGGAAGCGAAATGTATATGATACCTGGCATCTTTTTCCCAGCAAGGGAGCAGAGAAATCATTTAAAACAAAGGCGAGCATCCTATTTCGGAGGGGTCCAGAGCTCAGTGGTGGAGCACACATGCATTGCAGGTTCAATCCTTGGCAAAGGAAGATGCCCAGTGGAGACTCTGCAGAGTTGCTGCCTCTGAGCGTAGGCCAAGGATGGGGAGCCTGTGACCCTCCAGTTTCCATCAGCTGCAGCCAGCCTGGCCCATTGGTTAGAGGCGAGGGGAGTTTTTGCCCAGAAACATCCTTGCATTAAAGGCTGCACACTCAACAGCCACATTGGACTGTTTTTCAAAGACTCCTGTTGGAGTTTATCTCCTCTTCCTACCTGCAGATGACGGGCATTGAACCTGGGACCTTCTGCATGCAAAAATTGGTTCTCTGTCGCTGAGAACTGGCCCTTCCCTTAAGACAGCCTTTCTCAACCTGTGGGTCCCCAGATGTTGTGGAACTACAACTCCCATCACCCCTAGCTAGCAAGGCCAGAGCTCAGGGATGATGGGAGTTGTAGTCCAACAACATCTGGGGACCCACAGGTTGAGAACCGCTGCCTTAAGACATAGGAAGCTGCCTTCTACTGAGTCAGACCATTGGTCCACCTAGTTCTGTATTGCCTTGCACTGACTGGCAGCAGCTCTTTAGGGTTTGGGGTAGGGGAACCTCTCCCAGCCCTTGCTGGAGGTGCTGGAGATTGAATTTGCGGGCATCTGCATGCGAGGTGAGTACCCTAACACTGAGCCATGCCCCTTTTGCAATGGGCACTATCCACCACTGCCTTAATCCTGTTTCGAAACCTGGCAAATGTCATTGAGTTGCAAGCACAGGCACACACACACACACACACAGAGAGAGAGAGAGAGAGAGAGAGAGAGAGAGCGCTTCTGTGAATAATTGCTTTTCCAAGCTCCTGTTTTGCTCCTTTCATCTAACGTACCTCGCCAGCTAGGACCCTGCGTAAGTATCATTCAAAGCACAAAGGACTCTTTCAGAGGTACCACTCGCAAATCTTCGCAATCGCTCTTGAAAGCCAAACATTTTAGCATGTTAAAACAATGAAGGTCACCTTGGACAGGCAAGGCACAAACCGTTTACCTTCCCCGCCTCCCTTCCGCAGACTAATACTGTGGCTGATTAAAAGGACCCCGTGGTTGTTTGGCTGGCTGGTTGTTTTTAAGGGCTGGGGAATCTCTGCATAAAAAGGTGTCTGATGAAATCTGCTCTTTCTGAAATATGTCTCTTACACTCTCTCACTCTTCTATATCTTTATCATGATCTGCCTTTGCTGCAGTGAACATAATTAATCTCTCCCCCTCCCGGGCCTGTTCTTTCTCAAATGCATGCAAGGTATTTGTGCTCAGCCTTTGGCCAGAGGTCTACTCAGAGGAGGAGCAAAGGAGTCAGGACCCTTCCCCCCCCCATCTGATTTCTAGACTTCCAGTGGCTTCATAGTGCTGTTCAGTCTGGACAGGCTTGCCCTAAGACTGGGAATCCTTACCTGGGCTCATGGCTGGCTATCAGATCACACACCTCACCTCCTCCAGGGC